TGTCAGCAAAGTGATCCCAGAAAGAAGTCTTCAGTTACTCACTGACAGAGTCTTACATCTTACAAAGTCATAACCTGTGCTAAAAGTTTCAATCAAAACTGAGTTTCATGAGTTTTTTCTTCCTATATTAATTTAATATGGAAGCGTCTCTGTTTTTATGTAAAACCCAAAACCATAAAAACCCTAGAAGAAAACCTAGGCAATGCCATTCAGGACACAGGCATGGGCAAAGATTTCATGACTAAAATACCAAAAGCAATTGCAACAAAAGCTAAAATTGACAAATGGGATCTAATCAAACTAAAGAGTTTCTGCACAGTGAAAGAAACTATCATCAGAGTGAACAGGCAACCTACAGAATAGGAGATAAATTCTGCAAGCTACCCATCTGACAAAGGGCTAATATCCAGAATCTACGAGGAACTTAAAGAAATTACTAGAAAAAAACAAACAACTCCATCAAAAAGTGGGCAAAGGCTATGAACAGACACTTCTCAAAAGAAGATATTTATGCAGTCAACAAACATACGGAAAAAAGGTCATCATCATTGGTCATTAGAGAAATGCAAATCAAAACCATAATGAGATACCATCTCATGCCAGTTAGAATGGCAGTCATTAGAAAGGCGGGAAACAACAGATGCTGCAGAGGATGTGGAAATATAGAAACATTTTTACACTGCTGGGGGGAGTGTAAATTAGTTCAGCCATTGTGGAAGACAGTGTGGAGATTCCTCAAAGATCTAGAACCAGAAATGCCATTTGACCCAGCAATCCCATTACTGGGTAGATACCCAAAGGATTATAGATCATTCTACTATAAAGACACATGCACACATATGTTTACTGCAACACTATTTACAATAGCAAAGATTTGGAACCAATCCAAATGCTCATCAATGATAGAGTGGATAAAGACAATGTGGCACATATTTACCATGGAATACTATACAGCCATAAAAAAGGATGACTTCATGTCTTTTGCAGGGACATGGATGAAGCTAGAGCCCATCATTCTCAGCAAACTAACACCAAACACCACATGTTTTCACTTACAAGTGAGAGTTGAACAATGAGAACACATGGACACAAGGAGGGGAACATCACACACTGGGACCTGTCAGGGGGTGAGGGGCAAGGAGAGGGAGAGCATTAGGACAAATACTTAATGCACGTGGGGCTTAAATCCTAGATGATGGGTTAATAGGTGCAGCAAACCACCATGGCAATGTACACCCATATAAAAACTTGCACATCCTGCACATGTATCCCGGAACTTAAAATAAAATTTTTTTAAAAAGGAAGTTTCTCTGTTTTCTTTTCCTTATCTGAGCAATGATCTCTTCGTCTTTTGCAAATGACATCCTTGCACCAGCTTCAGTGTATAAATAGTCACATTTATTTAATCAGCTACTCAACAGAGATTTATTGATTTACTGTGTGCTCTGTTCTAGAAAAAGGAATACAACAGTGAACAACACAGGGAAAAACGTCTGATGACAGGGAGCTTGGACGCCAGTGCCGTGAGTCAGACAGCAAACCAAATAAACCAACGGTATGTTCGGTAGAAATAACGAGAAAACAAAGCAGGAATGAAGAATAATGAACTCCAGAAAGACGGGGAGTTCAAATTTTTCTATAATAGCTTTGTTGAGATATATTTCAGATACAATAAAATTTGTCCTTTTAAATTGTCCCAGCCCATGGTTTTTAGAACTGTGTAACTATCACACTATCCACTTCTAGTACATTTTCATTACCTAGCCGACTCCTCAAAAACATATGTATACACCTCTTAGCAGTCACTCTTCATCATACCATCTGCCCAGACCCTGGCTACTAATAATTTCCTTTATATCTTTATGGCTTTTCCTATTCTGGACATTTCATATAAATGTAATTATATAACATGGCCTTTTATGTCTGTCTTCATTCAGTTAGTATAAAATTTTCAAGATACATCCATGTTGTAGCATGTATTGGTACTTTGGTACTTTATTTTTTGTGGCTGAATAATATTCCATTGTATGTATAAACTTTGATTTATCCATTCATCTAGTAATGAGCATTTACATTGTTTTTGCCTTTTGGCTGTTATGAATAATGCTACCATGAACATTCAGGATAAGCTTTTGTGAGGACATGTTTTCATTTTTCTTGGGCATATACATACAAGGGTATTATTGAGTCACAAGGTTTAGTTTTTTGGTTTTCTTGTTTTATGGTTTGTTTTTTTTAAGAGACGTCTCTCTGTCACCTAGACCGGAGTACAGTGATGCAATCATAGCTCACTGTATCCATGTTTAACTTTTTGAGGAAGCAGTTCCATTTTAAATCAAGCAGTCAGGGGAGGCCTTGTCAACAAGATCACATTGAGCAGAACCCCTGATGATGATCTAAATAAAACCTACACGTAGATGGAGGCAGAGCATGCCAGGCAGAGAACAGCAAGATCCAGAGGCAAGAATGTACCTAGCTTGTCTGAGGAACAGCAAAGTGGCTGGAGTAGCAAGAGAAAGGAAGATGCCACATGTCTGCCTACAATGGTAACCTAAATGTGATTTGGAAAAACCACATTTAAATGGCAATCTGTTAGCATGTGTTTTGAGCAAATGGAGTTACATATTCCAGCCTCCTGAACTTAACTGTTTAACTCAATTTTTTCATAACAATTTTAATAACTGATTGATTCTGATTTCATCCAGGATTTCAGTTGCATCCAGGATTCTGTCCTCTCTTGACATGTTTTATTAAGGAATAAACATAGAAGTGCACAATGATTGTATAACAAAGAGTAAATTATAGAGGTGCTTTTTGTGTTCAGGGTCGCACAGTACCTTCCTGCCCCCGCCCAACAAAGGAAGGTAAACTGCTTTTGCTATTCTGTGCGTGAATACTCAGATGAAGAAACGCCCATCACCAAGTTCTGTTACTGCCCACCATTGCTCAGCTCTAACAAAGATTCAGGAACAGCTACATGATCACAGACACCAACAGGCCCAAACAGTGGTGTTTCCACAGACAGTCTCTGCATCCCCTAAAAGGGAACAGACAGGTTTGACTGCTTGCATCTCCTGCAAGTCTTGATTGCTGTGGCTAACTGCTTGATTTTTCCAGGATGGCCTCAGGTTTACACTTTAAGAAGGCACTGGCAATTATAAACAAACAGTGTGTGAATTGCTAAGGGAAACTAACTGGGCACAGAGGGAGTTGGAAGAGGTCAGGGAAGGCTTCACTGTAGAACTGATATCTCAGCCACAACATGAAGGATGGGAGATTTCTGGTTTTGAAGATGAATAAGAGTATTCCAGGAAAGGGCACAGCAGGGACAAAGGCTCAGAGGCAAGACAGAACATGGGATACTTTAAAACAAAAAAGCAGTTACCTATGGCTTCACCGCAACACAGAAATGGAGAAAGATGAGCAGTGTCGAAAAGCAGGGTCTCAATAGGTAGAGCCTTCTCAGCTGATGTGCTTTGGTTCTGCGTCCTCACCAAAATCTTATGTTGAATTGTGATCCTGAGCGTTGCAGGTGGGGTCTGGAGGGAGGTGGCTGGATCATGGGGTGGTTTCTAATGCTTTAGCACAAACCCCTTAGTACTGTCTCCCGAGAGAGTTCTCATGAGATCTGGTTGTTTACAAGTGTGCAGCACCTCCACCAAATCTGGCTTCCTCCTGCTCCACTATGGTAAGTCTGTGCCTGCTTCTCCTTCACCTTCTACCATGACTGGAACTTTCCCGAGGCCTCCCAGCCATGCTTCCTGTACGGCCTGCAGAACTGTGAGTCAATTAAAACTCTTTTCTTTATAAATCACCCCGTCTCAGGTAGTTATTTAGAACAATGTGAGATCAAAGTAATACATTGGCCATATAAAGGAGTCTGGGTTTTATGCTGAACACCCTGGGCAGGAAACAAAGTATTTTAAGCTTTGGAGTGGCATGATAAGGATGCTGTACCTTATGGCAGCAGAGTGAACCTGGGCAAGGCTGGAGAAACAGCACCAGATAAAATTCCCAGTTCTCTCCCCAACATGGGACGGAGCATCCAGCCTCACCTAAGTGTGACCTTTGAGTGCCATAATATCCATATTTGAGTACCACCTCTGCCACCAACTCTATTTAACATGAAAAACACACACTCCTTGAGACCACAAATATACTACAGTGAGCCAAACACAACACCAAAGTCAGACCAGACTAAATTTAGCCCTGTAATTATGTAAAAATGAACTCATATTTTTAGAAGTTTTAAAAAATTTTTCTTGGCCTCATTCATTCATTCCTTTTTTATTTAAAAAATATTTCAATCTGATGAATATAATTATGCCACTTGCCCCATGAGGAAAGCAACTATAACAAATACATGTATATGCATATGTTCTATGTCACTGTCAACTGAATGCTTGTGTCCCCCCAAAATATATTGAAACCTATACCCAATGTAGGATATCTGGAGGTGAGGCCTTTGGGAGATAATTAGGTCATGAGGGTGAAGCCCTCATGAATGGGATGAGTGCCCTTATAAAAGATCCCAGAGAGCCCCCTCACCCCTTCTACCACATGAGGACACGGAAGACAGCCATCTATGAACCAAGAAAAGGGCTGTGGAAGTGTCGCACAGCCGAGTCCCGTGGTATTTCCCTTTTCTGGGAATCTGGAATTCAATGTGAAACGAAGATGCTTACTCTTGGGGAAATGTAGGTGTTCTGCCCTCCAGCGGCACCTGCTTTTCACATATGTAAGTATCATTCCCTGAAAATTACAAATGCTCCGTTGGCGCTTTTCGTTCGTGGGCTTCACCCTAAGTTCGGTGGTCTAGTTGGAAAATGGAGATTAAATTAGAAGCTTCCTATCCAAATGCCATTGGTCTCCTTATAAAATCCCAGGTCAAATTCCAATGATTTTGTGTTACATTGGCATCCATTTTTACATTTTTAATCTTCCTCTAAAACACCCAAACTCCTTTTTTTTTTTTTTTTTTTTTTGAGATGGAGTTTCGCTCTTGTTACCCAGGCTGGAGTGCAATGGCGCGATCTTGGCTCACCGCAACCTCCGCCTCCTGGGTTCAGGCAATTCTCCTGCCTCAGCCTCCTGAGTAGCTGGGACTACAGGCACGTGCCACCATGCCCAGCTAATTTTTTGTATTTTTAGTAGAGACGGGGTTTCACCATGTTGACCAGGATGGTCTCGATCTCTTGACCTCGTGATCCACCCGCCTCGGCCTCCCAAAGTGCTGGCCAAACTCCTTTTTAAAAGTTCAAATTCTTGCTCTGTGCTCTGAGCTATAAATATGCTACCATTTTACCTAAAACTTGTAAGGGCTTTGGCCATAACTTGTTCCATTTACAGAGGCACAATTTAGTCCAACTGTCCTTCTGATCTAGTGAGTTTTACTTGTCTAGTAAAACTCACTAGATCAGAACGACAGTTGGAGCAAACTCCCTCTGCAAATAATGCTAAATGTGTGTCTGTAAATGGCACTCCGTAAATGGACACTAAAATTTTATGGCTAAAATTTTAAAATCCAAGCTATAAAATCTTGATTTGTGTTTTTCTGTATTTTTATGCATACATAAATTTATGTCATATCATCTACATGGTACCAAATTAACTTATAAATAAATGAGTGTTCATAAGTTAATAAACCCAACTGCTTTTCAAGCTTGGTATGTTAAATTACATGGGAAACACTGTCAAATAAGAAACGGGGCTTAACTTCCTTTGAGTTGTATTTGTATGGATGTTATTCATATGTGTTCCAAAATTGTATGAGATTGCTAGACTCTGATAGGTCTTAGTGTATGCAGTAAATTTCCTTATTCTGATGCTTTTACTGTAAAAGCTTTTTGCAAATCCTTAAGGGTTGCATCTTCAAGGAAATTTATGGAAAGGACCTTTGATCCTGACAAGTACTCTGGAATCCAGGTTTCTGGTAACTCTGGAGAGTGTAGCACTGGACTAGGTAAAAACCTTCAAAACTCTAATTTTAGCACTGATGAGTTCATGAAGATTGCTAACCCACCATCAAGCAGAACAAAAATGATGACATGGGACTGAAATGATGTCCTATGACTCTTTGTTTGAAACCGGGTTCATTTGCTTTCAGGCTGCTGGTCAAGACATAGCCGAGACTGGGAAAAAAGAGCTTTAATTGCACCTACAGTTCCACATGGCGGGGAAGGCCTCACAATCATGGAGGGAGGTGAAAGGCACTTCTTATATCACAGCAGCAAGAGAAAATGAAGAAGAAGCAAAAATGGAAAGCCCTGATAAACCCATCAGGTCTCATGAGATTTATTCACTAACAGGAGAACAGCACGGGAAAGATCAGCCCCGGTGATTCCATTACCTCCCTCTGGTCCCTCCCACAACTGGTGGGAATTCTAGGAGATACAATTCAAGTTGAGATTTGAATGGGGACACAGTCAAACCATATCAGAAACATTGTTGATTCTTTTCATATTTTGTTTTCCAGAGCCAAGAAAACATTTTTGGAGCTATTTATAGTTTACAGCAATTTGGTAAAGTATACATTTGTAAGCAAAATTGAAACATTTCCTGTCTACTTGAATTCTCCAAAATTTGGAAACTATTCACTAGTATTCTCATTCTATGGCAATATGGATTTTTGTACAAGTTTTGTAAAAATCTCTTTTCTTTTTGTAACAGGAAACATTGGAAACACTGGTTATTTATCAAGGCTCTGACTGGAATGTCGTATTTTCAAAGGTGACCAGGTTGCTTTGGCGGATTGAGGTCGACTCTATAGGCCAATAGCCTTGGAAAAAGACTGGCCTGGCACCTTGTCTAGACGGTTCCCTTACAGTGTTTCTGACCTTGTGGTAAGTAAAGAATGTCACTTTCTGACAGACCTGGGAGCCTCAAGATACTTGGAGGACCTTACGATCCTGGATCAATGACTTACAAGATAATCCACCAACCCAATTTCTGGATTGTGAAACTTCTTGGGAAAGTTTCAGACCAGGGAATGTTGGGACTCAGAAAACGATATTTAAAATGAAGACCTTAGAAGGAAACGTTGTTCTCTGACCTTCCCCTGCCCTATTATATATCTCCCTGAGGCTAGGCAGAGAAACCAGAACCCCTTTTCTGCAAAGCCAGCCATAAACGAAAAAACAGTGCTCTAACTTTTCCTCCACATTTCTGTGTAAAAACTGGCCATAAAGAGATTATCAAGGCTGGGCATGGTGACTCATGCCTGTAACCCTAGCACTTTAGGAGGCTGAGGCAGATTACTTGAGCTCAGGAGTTTGAGACCAGACTGGGAAACATGGTAAAACCACATCTCCATTTTTATTTAAAAAGAATGTTTTAGGCCGGGCGCGGTGGCTCAAGCCTGTAATCCCAGCACTTTGGGAGGCCGAGGCGGATGGATCACGAGGTCAAGAGATCGAGACCATCCTGGTCAACATGGTGAAACCCCGTCTCTACTAAAGATACAAAAAATTAGCTGGGCATGGTGGCGCGTGCCTGTAATCCCAGCTACTCGGGAGGCTGAAGCAGGAGAATTGCCTGAACCCAGGAGGCGGAGGTTGCGGTGAGCCGAGATGACGCCATTGCACTCCAGCCTGGGTAACAAGAGTGAAACTCCATCTCAAAAAAGAAAAAAAAGAATGTTTTAAGAAATGATCAGGCCTACCTTGTTTGATTGTATGTCATAAGACTCCTGTTGCAGAGGGGGTCCTTCCCAAACCCAGAAGGAAGGGATGTTGCTCAGAGAAGCCAAGAAGAATCTAGACAGACAGGCCTTGCTGGTTTTCTCCCCCACAGTCTATCACCATTAGGTCTCACCCGTTCTGTCCAATCATATCTCAACACAGCCATTTATACTTTGTTCAACCTAAGCATAAAAATGGTTAGTTTTCCTCTTGGGTTCTTCATTCTGAAGTCTCCTGTGTCACATGAAACTATGATCAAATACATGTGTGTGCCTTTTCTCCTGTCAATCAACCTCTTGTCATGATTTTCAGGGAAATTTTAGAGGGTGAAGGGAAAGGTATTTCTCTTGGCCTTGACGATGTCCACAAAGGAAGCACTCCTATATGAAAATGATCATAATCTTGTAGAAAACTATATCGACCCTCTGCAAATATTTTTCTTTGGATCAATGTGTGATTAAAGGAGGAACCACGCAGCTCAACAAACTGCCATAGTGAGGAGTGTGCATTTGATCTGGGGATTCCCAATGCACCTTTTCCTGCTCACAGTTTCTTCTCCTTGGTATTATTTTCTTCACATACACGTGCACAAATACGTGTTCACACACATGCATGCACACACCGCAGAGCCTATCTTTTCATCTTTACACCCTGGCATTTTTAGAGTGAAAGTTGTTATTGCTTTTGTCCTTAAGCTGTGTACATTCTTTCGATTGAAAAACTACAATTTTGGCCGGGCACTGTGGCTCATGCTTGTAATCCTAGCACTTTGGGAGGCCAAGGTGGGCAAATCACCTGAGGTCAGGAGTTTGAGACCAGTCTGGCCAACATGGCAAAACCCTGTCTCTACAAAAATACCAAAAAAATTAGGGGGATGTAGTGGCAGATGCCTGTAGTCCCAGCTACTGGGGAGGCTGAGGCAGGAGAATCACTGGAACCTAAGAGGCAGAGGTTGCAGTGAGCCAAGATGGCATCACTGCACTCCAGCCTGGGCAACAGGGCAAGACTCCACATAAAAAAAAGAAAGAAAGAAAAAGAAAAAATACATTCTTATAAAGGAAAAAAATGGCTTTATAGAATAGGAATCACTGGTCATTAAAGATTTTTAAATCAAGGGTTTAAGCCCTGATACAGTTTGGCTGTGTCCCCACCCAAATCTTAACTTGACTTGTATATCCCAGAATTCCCACATTGTGGGAGGGACCCAGGGGGAAGTAGTTGAATCATGAGGGCTGGTCTTTCCCATGCTATTCTCATGGTAGTGAATAGTCTCACTAGATTTGATGCATTTATCAGGGGTTTCTGCTTTGGCTTCTTCCTCGTTTTTTTCTTGCCACTTCCATTTAAGAAGTACCTTCCATCTCCTGCCATGATTCTGAGGCCTCCCCAGCCATGTAGAGCTGTAAGTTCAATTAAATCTCTTTTTGTTCCCAATTTCAGGTACATCTTTATCAGAAGTGTTAAAATAAACAAATACAGTAACTTGGTATCAGAAGTGGGGCATTTTTGAAAAGATACCCAAAACTGTGGAAGCAACTTTGGAAGTGGGTAACAGGCAGAGGTTAGAACAGCTTGGAGGACTCAGAAAAAGACAGGAACATTTGGGAAAGTTTGAAACTCCCTAGAGACTTGTTGAATGGCTTTGCCCAAAATGCTGATAGTGATATGGACAATAAGGTGGTCTCCAGGCTGAGGTGGTCTCAGATGGAGATGAGGAACTTGTTGGGAACTGGAGTAAAGGGGACTCTTGTTATGTTTTAGGAAAGAGATTGGCGTCGTTTTGCCCCTGCCCTAGAGATTTGTGGAATTTAAAACTGGAGAAAGATGATTGAGGGTATCTGGCAAAAGAAATTTCTACACAGCAAAGCATTCAAGAAGTGATTGGGGTACTACTGAAGGCATTCAGGTGTATAAGGGAAGCAGAGCATATAAGTTCAGAAAATGTGCAGCCAGACAATGCAATAGGAAAGAAAATCCCATTTTTTGAGGAGAAATTCAAGCTGGCTGCAGGAATTTACATAAATAGCAAGGAGCCTAATGTTAATCCCCAAGACCAGGCTATGTCAGAGACCTTCACAGCAGCCCCTCCCATCACAGGCCCACAGGCCCAAGAGGAAAAAGTGGTTTTACGGGCTGGGCCCAGGATCCCTGTGCTGTGTGCAGTCTAGGGACTTGGTGCCCTGTGTCCCAGCTGCTCCAGCTGTGGCTGAAAGGGGCCAATGTACAGCTCAGGCCATGGCATCAGAGAGGGCAAGCCCCAAGCTTTGGCAGCTTCCATGTGGTGTACACAGAAGTCAAGAACTGAGGTTTGGGAACCTCAGCCTAGATTTCAGAAAATGTGTGGAAACGCCTGGATGCTCAGGCAAAAGTTTGCTGCCGGCACAGGGCCCTCATGGAGAACCTCTGCTAGGGCAGTGCAGAAGGAAAATGTGGGGTCACAGCACCCACACAGAGTCTCTCCTGGGGCACTGCCTAGTGGATGGAGCTATGAGAAGAGGTCCGTTGTCCTCCAGATCCCAGAATGGTAGATCCACTGGGAGCTTGCAGCATTTACCTGGAAAAGCCACAGACATTCAACAGCAGCCCATGAAAAGCAACCAGGAGGGAGGCCATACCCTGCAAAGCCATAGGAGCAGAGCTGCCCAAGACCATGCGAGGCCACCTTTTGCATCAGTGTGACCTGGAGTCAAAGGAGGTCATTTTGGAGCTTTAAAATTTGATTGCCCAGTCAACAGCGTCAACAGTCATGGGCACTGGTGAAGTTCTGGAATTGTGTATTCCGTGAGTATGCCTGCTGAGCACATCGCCTCTTAACAAACCCTCTAGAGTGGTTCCCATGGCACCCCCTATTGATGTGCCAAAACGTCATCTCCGCATGGCTGAGGGAGTTCTACAAAGACATCTTGAAAGCATTGTCCTGCATGTGCCCTGTTTGGGACATCTGAGGGAAGCCTGAAGGCTACAGTTAATTACGAATAAAACCTTTAAATCAGTGGGTAGGAAGAATGAACTTTACTGTGAACATTTTTTGAAGAATGAATATTAACATGATTATTATCAAGAGTTTTAAATGACATAAATGCTTGTAAAATTGTCTCAAGTGTTAACTGCAAAATACAAAAGTGTATTGAAGTGTGATCTCAACTTTGTAAGTATAGACACAAATATTTATGGAGAGCTGCATAGGAGATTGAAAGGAAATATGCCACAATGTTTACAGTGATTGTTTCTAGAAAGGGGATATGAACCATTGTGTTTATATCCCTGTTCTTTTAAAGTGTTCTGTAAGTAGGTGTTACTCTTAGAATTATAAAAAGTAATATATTTTTCTTTAGAGACTTTATTTGTGGATTTTGTTTGAAGAGTTATACATTTGTATGATTCAAATATCAAAATGTTTTAAGAGGGTAAACTTTGAGAAGTCTTACTGAGGGTGGAGACAGGACGTGACTCAGGAGGCAGGACTCAATCAACTTCAGAAGCAGGGCCCAGTCACCGGACCAAATTGAGGACTAACTAAAACGAGGAGGAGGAGGGAGCACCTTTCCATAAGACATACCCACCAGTGTGTCATGTCAGTTGACCCTGTTGCCATGGCAACCGCCAGAAGTTACCACTTCATTCCATGGCAACGACCCAACAACCCAGACATTACCATCCTTTTTCTAGAAATGTCTGCATAATCTGCCCCTTAGTTTGCACATAATTAACGGTGGGTATAAATATGACTGCAGCACTGCCTCTGGGCACCTATTCTTGGCCCACTGCCTATGGGGTGGCCCTATGCTGCAGGAAGCAGTACCTCTGCTGCTGCTGTACACTGTTGGTTCAATAAAAGTTGCTAATACCAAAAAAAAAAAAATTTTTTTAAATTTGACCGCCCAGCTGGATTTTGGATTTACATAGGCCCCCTTTGTTTTGTTGGCCCATTTCTCCCATTTGGAATGGCTGTATTTACCCAATGCCCGTATCCCCATCATATCCAGGAAGTAACTAGCTTGCTTTTAATTTTACGGGCTCATAGTTGGAAGAGATTTGTTATGTCTCAGATGAAACTTTAGACTATGGACTTTTGGGTTAATACTAAAATGAGTTAAGACTTTGGGGGACTGCTGGGAAGGCATGATTGGTTTTGAAATGTGAGGATATGAGATTTGGAGGGGTCATGATCTCTGGAATGATATGGCTTGGCTGTGTTTCCACCCAAATCTCAACTTGAATTGTGTCTCCCAGAATTCCCACCTGTTGCGGGAGGGACCTAGGGGAGGGAATTGAATCATGGGGGCCAGTCTTTCTTGTGCTATTCTTATGATAGTGAATAAGTCTAATGAGATCTGATGGGTTTGTCATGGGTTTCTGTTTTTGATTCTTTCTCATTTTTCTCTTGCCACCATCATGTAAAAAGTGCTTTTTGCCCCCATCATGATTAAACTTTTTTTCTTCCCAGTTTGGGTTGTGTCTTTATCAGCAGCATTAAAATGAACTAATACAAGCCCCAAGATGCTTGCTGTTTCTTCTGCCCAGAAAAGCTGCACTTCTTTCTGTTCAACTGATTTTATATGCAAGGTACATAGTGGTCATCTCCATCCTTTCTACTGTATAGGCAAAGGAAGTTGAGACCCTCGGTTCAAAACTCAAGACTTAAGTTTGTTTTTCAACTTCACAACTTGTTTTTTCTATTATTTAAAATCAATCACTCCTTTGGGAAGGAAGTTCTCCGATCAAAAAAAGAAAGACAAGCATGGAGCTGAAATCAACTCATGCAAAATAAAGTCACTTTAAAGCAACAGAAGAAGCTCTTCTGGAATTATCATTTACAGCTTCCAATATCTGAAGAAAGTTAACACCCAGCATTGAATGAATCTACAACAACTCCCCTGAAATGTGTAACAGCAGCCAGCATGCAGAGAGCACTTGGGGCAAGGTCTTCGCACCCATCCCCCGCCTCCCCCGCCCCCATACCATGATCCTGTTGCAGCAGGTAGTCAGGCAGACATGAGCAGAGCATGAGAGGGTCCCGCCACACTGGCAATGTCAGGCAACCATGAGTTAACAGCCAGGCAGTCATAAAGCTCTAAAATAATAATTGGTCACAGCTGGTGCCAGGAAAAGGCAGTCTCCCAATAGAAAGAAAAAACCTGAAACGTGATCAGCACCTTCTGGAGAAGATCTCAGGAGTTGGACAAGTGGGCTCAAGCATGAGCTCTAGGAGGCAAAATGGCAGCACTTAACTGGTATATGATCCTCCTCTAGGAACATTTGATCGGTGTGAGAAGAATGCCTCAAGTGAGCATGCGCACAACTCCAGTAAATACCGCACACGCAGCCCCTCCCAAGTGCTGGCAGGTCACAGCACAAGCGGGCAGCTGACCCCAAGGGAAGAATCAGGGACGAAGACAAGCAAGACCCCAGAAACAAGCCATCATGTGAAACCCCAGGTTGAAAGTCAAACAGAGCACTTGTCTCTCTCAAGTATCCTAGTTGGCCCTCTTCCAGGTGTACTTGACTTCTTTTCATTCTTGCCCTAAAACATTTTCATGAATTTTCACTCTTACTCTAAGACTTGCCTTGGTCTCTCACTCTGCCTTATGCCACTCTGTCAATTATTTCTTCTGAGGAAGCAAGACTTGAGGCTGCTGCAGACCCGTAAGGATTCACTGCTGCTAACAGTCTCTAACAATTATGAAGTAGATACCATCATATTCGTTTTACAGATGAGAAAACTGAGGCATTAGAGAAGTTGTATGACTGGCCATAACTTATCCAAGATCAGCATGCTAGAAAGTAACACAACCAGAAATCAAAACTGAAGCTTGTCAGACCCTAACATCAATCCATGCTCATAGCTGCTACACTATAATGGTTGCCAGTGCTTTGGCATGACCAGTGTAGAAGACCACAATATGCCTCCCCAAAATATGATCTGGGAGACCACAATATGCCTCCCCAAAATATGATCTGGGAGACCACAATATGCCTCCCCGAAATATGACTCTGGGTGACTACAATATGCCTCCCTGAAATATGACTCTGGGAGACCACAATATGCCTCCCCGAAATACGACTCTGGGAGACCACAGTATACCTCCCCGAAATATGACTCTGCGAGACCACAATATGCCTCCCCGAAATATGATCTGGGAGACCACAGTATGCCTCCCCGAAATATGACTCTGGGAGACCACAATATGCCTCCCCGAAATATGACTCTGGGAGACCACAATATGCCTCCCCGAAATATGATCTGGGAGACCACAATATGCCTCTCGGAAATATGATCTGGGAGACCACAGTATATGCCTCCCCGAAATATGATCTGGGAGACCACAGTATGCCTCCCCGAAATATGACTCTGGGAGACCACAGTATGCCCCCCCGAAATATGATCTGGGAGACCACAGTATGCCTCCCTGAAATATGACTCTGGGAGACCACAGTATGCCCCCCCGAAATATGATCTGGGAGACCACAGTATGCCTCCCTGAAATATGACTCTGGGAGACCACAGTATGCCCCCCCGAAATATGATCTGGGAGACCACAGTATGCCCCCCCGAAATATGATCTGGGAGACCACAGTATGCCCCCCCGAAATATGATCTGGGAGACCACAGTATGCCTCCCCGAAATATGATCTGGGAGACCACAATATGCCTCTCGGAAATATGATCTGGGAGACCACAATATGCCTCTAGGAAATATGACTCTGGGAGACCACAGTATATGCCTCCCCGAAATATGACTCTGGGAGACCACAATATGCCTCCCCAAAATATGATCTGGGAGACCACAATATGCCTCCCCGAAATATGACTCTGGGAGACCACAATATGCCTCCCCGAAATATGATCTGGGAGACCACAGTATGCCTCCCCGAAATATGATCTGGGAGACCACAGTATGCCTCCCCGAAATATGATCTGGGAGACCACAGTATATGCCTCCCCGAAATATGATCTGGGAGACCACAGTATGCCCCCCCGAAATATGACTCTGGGAGACCACAGTATGCCCCCCCGAAATATGATCTGGGAGACCACAGTATGCCTCCCCGAAATATGATCTGGGAGACCACAATATGCCTCTCGGAAATATGATCTGGGAGACCACAGTATGCCTCCCTGAAATATGATCTGGGAGACCACAATATGCCTCCCCGAAATATGATCTGGGAGACCACAGTATGCCTCCCCGAAATATGATCTGGGAGACCACAGTATGCCTCCCTGAAATATGATCTGGGAGACCACAATATGCCTCCCCAAAATATGATCTAGGAGACCACAGTATGCCTCCCTGAAATATGATCTGGGAGACCACAATATGCCTCCCCGAAATATGACTCTGGGAGACCACAGTATGCCTCCCTGAAATATGATCTGGGAGACCACAATATGCCTCCCCAAAATATGATCTAGGAGACCACAGTATGCCTCCCTGAAATATGATCTGGGAGACCACAATATGCCTCCCCAAAATATGACTCTGATCAATCCAAGATGGCCGACCACTAACACCTCGGGATTGTAGCTCCCAGTGAAAGCTCAGAGAACAAGACGACGCCACATCTTTAGACAAATTTTCATCACTCACCGATCAGCTGATTCCCAGTGGAGGAGCCCCACGGGTCGCCAGCGCGACTCTTGTGGCCGCCACAGCAGTTTTGCCGGCGTCTTGGCGCAGCAGCTCTTCATGCAGAGCCAACGGGACTGCTTCCCCTACTGACTGGAGTTTGGAGCTCCAGGAAATCAGATCCACTTGTTGCAGACTCAAGAGGGAAGCCAGACCAGAGATTCCCGGGCAGAAGAGCACCATCAGTCTTATGGCTGCTATTTAGGCTGCCACAGTGGGTTGCTCGGATCCCAGCACTGGGAATCAATAAGTCTGACGTCGACTCAGAAACCTAATTAGAAAGGCAGGTCATCTACAATGAAGGGAAAAAAACAGCCTAAGAAGGCCGAGTATACTCAAAATCAGAACCCATCAGAAACGGAACAAGCCCTGATGGAAAAGGACTCATCAGCAACCGAACAAGCCCTGATGGAAAAGGACTCATCAGCAACAGAACAAATCCTGATGGAAAAGGACTCATCAGTAACGGAACAAGCCCTGATGGAAAAGGACTGTGTTCCATTATCTGAAGTAGGCTTTAAAAGGTGGATGATAAGAAACTTCTGGGAGTTAAAGGAACTTGTTCTAACCCAATGTAAAGAAACTAAGAACTTGGAAAAAAGGTTCGATGAAATGATGAAAAGAATAGACAATATAGAGAGGAATACAAATGAACTTATGGAGTTGAAAAATACAACACGAGAACTTAGTGAAATATGTACAAGCTTAAATAGCCGAATGGATCAAGCAGAAGAAAGGATATCAGAGGTCGAAGACCAACTTAATGAAACAAAATGACAAGACAAGAATAGAGAAAAAAGGATAAAAAGGAATGAACAAAGTCTCCAAGCAATATGGGACTATGTGAAAAGACCTAATATACGCTTGATTGGTGTACCTGAATGTGACGGAGAGAATGAATTCAAGCTGGAAAATACTTTCCAGGACATTATCCAGGACAATTTTCCTAATTTAGCAAAGCAGGACACTATTCAACCCCAAGCAATACAGAGAACACCACAAAGATATTCCTCAAGAAGACCAACCCCAAGGCACATAATCATTAGATTCACCAAGATCGAAACGAAGGAGAAAATATTAAGGGCAGCCAGAGAGAAAGATCAAGTTACCCATAAAGGTAAACCTATTAGGCTTACAGCAGATCTCTCAACAGAAACCCTACAAGCTAGAAGAGAGTGGGGGCCAATATTCAATATACTTAATCAACAGAAATTTCAGCCCAGAATTTCATATCCTGCCAATTTAAGCTTTACATTTGAAGGAAAAATAAAATCTTTTAGGAACAAGCAAGTACTCAGAGATTTTATTACCACTAGGCCTGCTTTACAAGAACTTCTAAAAGAAGCATTATACACAGAAAGGAACAACCAGTATGACCCTTTCTAAAAATACACCAAAAAGTAAAGAGCATTAACATAAAGAAGAATTTTCATCAACGAAAGGACAAAATAGCCAGTTAATATCAAATGGCAGCAACCCTAAATTTAAATCGACCAAATCTCCCAATCAAAAGATACAGACAAAATCTAATGGTATATCCAAAGTTATACATAGACTCAAAATAAAGGGTTGGAAAAAAAAAACGTACCAACCAAATAGAGAGCAAAAATAAATAAATAAAAAGCAGGAGTTGCAATTTTCATATTTGACAAAATAAATTTCAAAGCCACAAGGATACAAGGGTAAAAGGATTAATGTAATAATAAGAGATTTTAACACCCAGATACATAAGACCCATAATGAGATTTAGATTCAACGAGACAGAAAATTGATAATGATATCCGGGACTGGAACTAAGATCCAGAACAAATAAACTCA